TACTGGCTTCCTTAGCAAGCCTGCTCACATGCACTCCTCTGGTTCTCACTCTCAGATCACCTTACTGCCGCCTTTAGCAACGCTGCTCACATGCACTCTCTGTTCTCTCTCACATCACAACTGCTTAACAACCTGCCTCACATGCACTCTCTCGTGGAGACGCGTCGACGGGTGTATCTAGCGCCAGGGGCGCCTCGTTTCTCTCTCACATCACATACATGCTTAGCAACCTGCCTCACATTCACTCTTGCTGTTCTCTTTCACATCAGACCTACTTGCTTTAGCAACCTGCTCACATGCACCTCTTGTTCTCTCCACCATCACCTTAGCTGCTTAGCAAACCTGCTCACATGCCACTCTCTGCGTTCTCTCTCCATCACCTACTGCTTTAGCAACCTGCTCACATGCCACTCCTCTGGTTCTCTTCTCACATCACATACTGCTTAGCAACCTGCCTCACATGCACGTCTCTGGCTTCTCTACTCACTCACCTTACTGCTTAGCAACCTGCCCTCACTATGCACTCTTCTTGGTTTCTCTCTCTCATCAACCTACTGCATTAAGCAAATCCTGCTCACATGCCACCTCTCTGCGTTTTCCTCATCTCATCACCTGGCTGCTTTAGCAAGCTGCGCAGCGTGCACTCTGCGTGTTCTTCGTTCTCACATCACCTACTGCCTTTAGCAACCTTCTCAGCATGCGACTCTTCTTGTTCTCTCTCACATCACCTAGCGTGCTTAGCAAACCCTGCCTCACATGCCGAGCGTGCCTGCTGTGTCGGTCTCTCACATCACCTCTGCTTGCAACCTGCTCACATGCACTCTCTCGTTCTCTTTTCACATTCACCTTACTGCTTAGCAACGCTGCCTCACATGCACTCTCTTGGTTCTCTCCACATCACCTGACATGCTTAGCAACCTGCTCACATGCCACTCTCTGGTGCGTCGTGCGTCGAGCCTCACCGTACTGCTTAGCACCTGCTCACATGCTACTCTCTTGGTCTCTCTCACGAGTCAGAGCGCTGAGCTGCGTGAGCAACCTGCTTCACATGACTCCTCCGTCTCTCGTGCAGCGAGTGCAGGCGCGTAGCGTGGTGTAGCAAGCGTGTCAATGCACTCTTCTTGTCGTGCGTGCTCGAGCATTCACCTGTCTGCTTAGCAACCTGGGTCACGAGGGGGGGGGGGGGGGGGTTGCACTCTCTTTGGCTTCTTCTTGCGGGTCAGCGATCACGCTACTGCCGCTTTAGAAGAGCGCGTGCTCACATGCCGACTCTCTGGTTCTCTCGTCACATCACCCTGACTGCTTAGCAACCTGCGTCACAGCACTCTCTGTTCTGCGTCGTCGACAGTCAGCAGTAGCTGCTTAGCAACCTGGCCGGTCGACGAGTTGGCAGCCTCTCTGCGTTCTCTCTCACATCCCTACGTGCTTGAGCAACCTGCTCACATGCCACTCTGTGGGTTCTCTCGTCAGGCAGTCACCTACTGCTTAGCAACTTTGGC